CACTGCTCACGGAAATACGATCCTTTGTTACAAGCAAGCGCACACGCACACTCACGCTGGAGGAGCGCCTTATCATACTCAACATGCACGCCGTCATGCGGCAAGAGGATGCGGAGAGTGGTGCCGCCCGCGACGTCAGTGTCCGCATCGCACAGCTGGTCGGGCGCAGTCGAGAAGTCGTCCGGCAAGTTTGGCGTGAATATCACGCTGAAAAGGATGTAGTGGTAAAGACGCAACCGGCGAATCGACAGTCCAAAACTATGGCCATCCCTTGGGACGACACTGTTGTTTCCAGCGTGCAAGTCTTCGTGCGCAATAAACGCATGCTACGAGAGCGTTGCGTGGCAATAATGTTCTGGCATTTCTAAGGGAAAAATCACTTGTTAGCTACGCTGACGACCTCAAATCAAGTGCAACAGCCCTCCGAGCAACGCAGCGATTTCTCAAACACTGTAGATACAAGCGGGGTCACAAAAAGGGAATAAAGTTCCTTGCGCTGACACAAAGAAACCGATTAGCGCGTGACAACTACGTCGTAAAAATGTGCGAAGCAACACAGCATGTCAACCTGTCCCTCCGCCGAACTGTTGTGTATTTGGGCGAAAGTTTTATACATCATCACTATAAGGCCAAGAACGACTCCTTATACGATCCCAACGATGTCACCGACATGCAGCCAAAACCAAAGCACAAAGGCAGACGAATTTGCTTTATTGGCGCCATTGTCGATGGCGGACCGCACAATTCGGCCTTCATCAACTACGACAGCTTTGAGGGAGGATCAAAGCAGACCAAGGATTACCACGGAATGTTCGACGGCGAGTATTTCGTGGCCTGGTTCGAGCGACTTGTCAGCATCCTGGATAAAATGGGCATTGAGAATGCGTTGATCGTCATGGACAATGCTAAATATCACAAATGCCTACCCCCTGACACGCCCAAGTTCTCCATGAAAAAGTTGCGGCTCCAAGAAGCATGTGCTGTCCGTGGTATACCCTACAATGCGTCCGATGTCAAGTCCGTCTTGTAGTCAAAGTTGGAACCTGTGGTCGCATCTGTCCAACCCACGACGGTCGCTATGGCCGAGGCCGCTGGTCACGAAGTGCTGTTCACTCCCCCGCATCATTCGGAGTTGCAGCCGATCGAACTAATTTGGGCCATTGTAAAGGGCCAAG